ATTACAATTACTTATCGACATTCTAAAGAGAATAAGACAGGGAAATTTGAGACAGCGATGCAAAATATCCTTCCTTTTTGACTTCAGGAAGGTTACTAAAGTTCCTCAGCCAATTGTGATGCCACAAATACCATGACGTCATAGCGAAGGTTGAAGCTATACTCTCACTGATTGGCTAGAGAGAATTACATCCAATTTTCTAAAGTTTTTGGTGACACTAGGCCATCATCTTTAAATCCCATTAAACCCATTGCCACTGGGGAAAATGCTCTGTACATAGATGGCTCTGCTAGTGCTTAGCCACAAAGGAGTCAATTAATAGATCTTGAGACCATACCTGATTTCACCTTTCCTTGAATTGGGGGGGGGGAAACATATTTTTTACTAGTGCTATAAATATCGATGGTGTTATTTTTCTTATAAACTTTATAATTACTATAATGTTATAAATATTCGTAACAGCAAAATAAGATAACGTAAAATATTTTTGTAAATCAATGAAAAGGGTGAACGGGTGAGACACGCCATACTCATAACTGGCTCACTGGTGACTTAGTACAAGTGTAGCCATCTATGTGTATAAACAATTAAACAAGTAAACTCACAGTGGGCATGGCATGTACGTACATGCCATGCCCGTCAGCAGTGGGTTAAAGTAACATAAAAATTACTTTGCCTGGTAAAAGGTTAAGGAATTTTAGAAGTTAAAGTGAATTTTTTAGTATGGAATTGTTTCCAGAGTTAAGGATATTTCTCTTTTTTCCGCGGTTTCAGACAAGCCCACGAGGAGTTCCAGTTGGTGGCTAACTCTTGGCGTTATTCTCAAGGTTATTCCAGCAAGCTGTTCTTTGCTCTTGTTGACTTTGATGAAGGTCCTGATGTCTTCCAGCAGGTAAGGAGCAATGGCCTTTCTGATATTCATTTTTTTTTTTTTTTCCCCCTCCATTGTAACTCCTCCATCTCCACTTCGAAGATTTTCCTCCTTTATCTTCTTCTTCTTCTTTATTCCCCTTGAGTATATTCATTGTTATCTTTGCGCTTATAATATTTTGAAGTGTATTTCTCGTAAAATCGCGGTTACATTTTCAGTTACGTCTGAACTCTGCTCCTGTGTTCATGCACTTCCCAGCCAAGGGCAAGCCAAAGAAGGTCGATACTTTAGACATCCAGAGAGTTGGCTTTGCAGCAGAAAATATCGCTCGCTGGGTTGCAGAACGGACAGATATACAGGTGATTTGCAAGTGGAAAAATGTAGATTTTGTGATATAAATAGTTGATATTAATGGACTTAGACTGAGTTTGTGTTGTGTATCAGTTTTCAGTGTTCTGAATCTAAATATAGGTCAGTTCAAGGACACAACAGTTGCATCCATAATTCCCAGGAGTGGGAAGTTCAAATATTTGTTCTCGATCTATTTTTCCTCATCTTGAATTTCGTCGTTTTGATCATCTCATCCATTTCAGATACGAGTTTTCCGTCCACCCAACTACTCTGGACTTCTCGCACTGGTTGTGTTATTGGCACTTGTTGTTGGGCTGTTGTACCTACGGAAGAACAACCTCGACTTCCTCTATAACAAAACTACCTGGGCTCTTGGTGCTCTGGTTAGTGGGGTTCCTGTTTTCAGCTTGTCACCCTTAGGGGGTGTTTTTTCATGTTCAACATTTTGTTTTCTTTTCACTGTTGAGAAGATTGTATGCATAAGCATTTTTAGATTTTAATTGTTGGTCACTGATCTGATACTATTGATATCAGGTCAGTGAGTATTGTCTATATAATGATGACAAAAGCATCAGATTTGTAACTAGAGGTGTTCAAAATTTTGTCAATTTATCGTGACTAAACAAGTGTAGGATAATCTCTGCATTATTTTTCTTTCTTTCTTTCTTCTTTAGAGGTGGGGGTATGGCCCTTAAGAAAATATGACCCACACTTAAAAAAAAAAAAAAAGGAGTCAGACTTGGAATGTTAAATCAATGCAGTGACCTATTTTTGTAAATCCTGTATTCATAACATTAATACAAAGGATATTTTTCAACTTTGCATATCTTGGGCATACATATATCTTGGACATACAGCCTATTTTCTTGTCCTGGGTTTTTCCTCTTCCCTCTATATGAGGTGGGTTCTTATCTTACTTCAGAGGCTATATTAGTTCCATAAACTACTCTTTGCAGCATTCAAAACTGTCCAAGAGAATAGATTAGTTGAATCTGCTTGGTGTCAGTTGGGTTAATCCTTCATATATTTATAAAGCTACGGCTAATTACTATATTATGTTTAGTATCCAAACTAAAATGCTCCCATAGCCGTGAAAGAATAGTTCTTCTTGAATAACTACATCAGCATTATTAAGTGTAAAGATTACGTTGGGGAATTCCGTTGTCATACTTGTCATACATCAGCATTATTAAGGGTAAAGATTATGTTGGAGAATTCTGTTGTCATACTTGTCGTGTATCTAACATTTTGTGATTAAGCTACTCAATTCAGGATTTAGACACTTTCCTTCAGCATTTGGAGTGTGGCATATTCCCTCATAGTTCCTTCTAAAAGGAAATCCTTCCTGTCACAAATCGCCGGCTCGCAATTCGTTCCAAACTTATTTAATCACCATTCTTATCAACATCCGACAGGCCTTCACCTTCGCCATGACTTCGGGCCAGATGTGGAACCATATCCGCGGACCTCCCTTCCTCCAGAAAACTCAGGCCGGGAACATTGCCTACATCCACGGGTCTTCACAGGGACAGTTCATTGTTGAAACGTATATCGTAGCTGTACTAAGTAAGTGGGAAGTGTGTCAGAAGAAAATGCAATTTACCATGACCCTTTTTTTCTCCTTCATTCATTCAGTCTTTATTCTTTTGAGAGGCCTGTTTAGATATTTAAAGATATGATACAGAGATTGGTTATTATTTTCAGTGCTCCTTCTTTCAAGATTTCATTTGTTTTGGCACTGAAATATTGAAGTAAATGTTCTGGGATTTCATTTACATATATATCTTGGTATTGTTTCTTGTTGTCTCTCTCTTTCTTTCTCTTTCTCTCTTTCTTTCTCTTTCACTTTCTCCTTTCTTTCCATTTTTCTCTTTCTCTTTCTCTTTTTCTCTTTTGCTTTCTCTTTCCCTTTCCCTTTCCCTTTCTCTTTCTCTTTTTCTCCTTCTCTTTCTCTTTCTCTTTCTCCTTTTGCAATTGTTAAGCAGCATGAAGGCAACCATGTTTAACTTTCCAGATGCAGCTGTTGTGTTAGGAATGATTCTCATGACCGAGGCAGCAAACAAGCGAGATGATGTGCGCAAACGGCGCATCTATGCCATCATTGGACTTGGTCTCGTAGCCTTTTTCTTCTCTTTGTCACTCTCAATCTTCCGATCGAAGGCACATGGTTACCCATACAGGTGAGTTGAACAGTAATGTAATTCTTTTTCACGAATTCTGAAATTTCTTCATAATAGTAATTGTTATGGTTTTTATAACTTCTCTTTCTCTTTCTCTTTCTCCTTTTGCAATTGTTAAGCAGCATGAAGGCAACCATGTTTAACTTTCCAGATGCAGCTGTTGTGTTAGGAATGATTCTCATGACCGAGGCAGCAAACAAGCGAGATGATGTGCGCAAACGGCGCATCTATGCCATCATTGGACTTGGTCTCGTAGCCTTTTTCTTCTCTTTGTCACTCTCAATCTTCCGATCGAAGGCACATGGTTACCCATACAGGTGAGTTGAACAGTAATGTAATTCTTTTTCACAAATTCTGAAATTTCTTCATAATAGTAATTGTTATGGTTTATAAATATTTGTATTTTCTCTAGTTTGAGCACATCTGACATACAGGATCATCCTATAGGTCTCTTTGGATCTTTCATATTAAATAAAATCATACCATATGAATGTATGTGTATCTTCCATTTTTCTCTTATGTAGATATTATATTTATACTCTTTAAGTCAATCCCTAATCATTCTTCTTTTCTTTATTTCAGCTTTCTACTTAAATAAAAGACAGAGAAATTAGAAATTTAAATACAAGGAAGTCATAAAGGTTTTCTGATTAAAGTTCTCATTGCTTGTATTCATGGATTTCTCTCATTCTAATTTGGTGACTTTAGTAAAACTTAGTGTAAGAGTGATTTCTGTGTTTTGATGGTGATTTTCCAAAAAAAATATATAAAATAAAATAAAGGTACACTTTTAGCATTACTCAATTGTGAATTTCACACACTTTACGTTCTTAGTTTACATGCTTGAAGAGGAAGAGGGATTTGCAGGATGTGATTGACGTCTCGGCATAAAAAATGTGAGGAGTCCTACATTTTTCCAAAGGGAATGGGGGAACTATACATTGTACATTGGTGGTAACCTTTAGTGCAAAAAAACTCAATTCAATTCCCATGTCATTGAGGACTTTCCATAATCATTAGAATTATTTTGTATCACTGGTGAAATGATGAGCCTTACGATTTTATATAGATCACATTTGATTATTTCGAGAAAGTATTTATTTTCATAAGTTTATAAAACTACCAGATTTTGCCATATAGAAGCCATGAAATATACAAGTAAATTAGATGTGAGTAATTAATGAGCCTTTATCAAACTCAAGTATCAATGACATTGTTGGTACTTTTATGGTTGTTATTTGTTCATAAGTTGAAAAAAAAGTTCATTTATCTTGTATATGTATATCTTCTAGGTTCACTCGCACTAAATTGACATGTCTCTCAAATACACTGTTTGTCAGTATCAAATGGCTAAATACTAACGAGAATCTGGTTTGAAATTGCTCCTACACATTCCATAAGTATTGTGCACATTGTGAAAGTTAAATGGTGCAGCACTGAAACCTGAGTTCATCACCCTCAAGCACATTTCCAAATCGTGTAAGGAGATGTATCATTTCTATTATTTATTTTCTTCCCTGCTGTTAAGTTGACATTTGTATTCCATTCTCACCTGTCCAACTTTGTAATGTAAGAGGAATAAAAGTAGAGATTCAAAA